CCTGCTGAAAGTGATGAGGCTGTGTCTCCTGTTGTTGGTTATGGTGTGATTTGAACAAGTGAGTTTGACTTTTGGAGAAGGTACAATTAAAAAATAAGGGTGGGAAAATGGGACTATTAGCCTGTTTTTTTTATTAAATGATCATGTGAATTTCATTAAACTGGAAAGAAAGGAAACCCACGGCCTGTGTCATATTTCTCTTGGTTATGTAGCTACTTTTAGAGATTGTGATAAGTCACTTTCTAACCTAGGTGGCTTCACTCTGCATTTTGATTGATCTTGGTTATTGGAGATGGTACATTGTGGCTTAATGTTGTAATTTGGAATCTTGGATTAACTTTATGATAATCTCTATATTATGCTACAGGATGATTCATATATCGAGAGCTACATAAGCACTATTGGAGTTGATTTTGTGAGTACAACAATGCAGATTTTTAACTTGAACTGTTTGAAGCAATGTCTAAACTCATCATTTCATGTAAATTTGTGTAGAAAATACGGACCGTTGAGCAGGATGGAAAGACAATTAAGCTCCAGATTGTATGTATCTGATTGACTTTGTCCTTTATCTATAAATATTAAATCTTCAGTGAGCTTGATCTATCCCTTTTAATCTTTTTGTTGGACAAATATTTTGCTCAAAATGATTGTTTCTAGGCTAGACCATGTGGATCACCAAACTTCATGGCTGTATTGATAGATTGTTCTCTTTCCTTGGTTTATGATCTGTTTAATATGCAGTGGGACACAGCCGGGCAAGAACGATTTAGGACAATCACCAGTAGCTACTATCGTGGGGCCCATGGGATCATTGTGGGTGATGATTTTCTTGGCATGTGCTTTTAGATATTGATTTCCCCTGTGTAGGTGGATCCTTGCATGCTTTACTAACTAGTTCCTCACTTCCTCCGGTAGATTGTTTATGATGTGACAGATGAAGAGAGCTTCAATAATGTGAAGCAGTGGCTCAGTGAAATTGACCGCTATGCAAGTGATAATGTTAACAAGCTTTTGGTTGGCAACAAGTGTGATCTGGCAGATAATAGAGCTGTGTCATATGACACTGCTAAAGTATGGCTTTGTTGCATATCCTTTGAATTTTTATCTTTTCATATTAAGAGCATGTTTGGACTTCAGATACAAGTTTACAAGAACTTTTAAGAGTTTCTCTATTAGAAAATACTCTTTATTTTTAGTATAGAAACCTTCTAGACTGTATCCAACCAGATTAAAGTTTCAAGCTTTTGTTCATGCAAAGTGCCATTGTTGAGTTATTACTCTTATATTCCTATTCAGCTACCCTTACACTAGCTTTAATATTCTTTTTTCTTTGACAGGCATTTGCAGATGAAATAGGCATACCTTTTATGGAAACAAGTGCAAAAGATTCTACAAATGTCGAACAGGCTTTCATGGCAATGGCTGCTTCAATCAAGAATAGGTATACATGCCTGTTTATAACTTAACAGTAGATATTCATGGAGATTACAAAAATTTAATGCAGCCTGACCTTAGAAGAAGCCCAGGAAATAATGTGTTACCGATTTACTCGATGAATAATTATACTGTATAGCTCATATTCATTAGCTCCAGTGTATCTGATGGTGTCAATTTCCATAGCTGAGAATGTTAGATTTCATCTTAAAACTAATTGGCGTTAAGTGAAGTTGTTCATAAGATATATAAGTTACATCCTAAGAATCGAGGCAAGTAATGTGGGACCTTCCAACACCCTCCTCCCCCACCCCAACTCCATAGATGTCAGCCAGAATAAGTAAGCATACTAAAATAGGCAATTTACCATAATGGACTCTGATATCATATCAGATTTCATCTTAGAACTAATAGGGCACTAAGCAAAGTTGTCCAACAAATATATAGACTGCACTCCAAGAATTGAGTTAGGTGATGTAGGACCTTCCAACATAGGAAAATCAATTGCAAAAAAGAGTTACATATGTCAATTTTTATTATTTTTCTTATGTGCTTTTTTTATTAGAGTCCAGAATACAAGCAAAACTCAATGCACATATAATGATTTGGCATATATATAGTTTTTATGTATTGCAATTCTTTAAGTTCATTAAAGATGTTTTTATGTATACGTTCATTGACTTTTTCTTGTCTGGCAACTATTCCTTCTAAGCTAATCTGATGGTAACTTGTGAATGTAGAATGGCAAGTCAACCTGCAAATAATACAAGGCCTCCAACTGTGCAGATCAGGGGACAGCCAGTTCAACAGAAAGGTGGGTGCTGCTCATCCTAACCACAAGATCCATTTCATTTGGTTATCTATTTCATGTAAGATTTTATTTTATTTTTTTTTTGTTTTATTTCACTAAGTAGTGGACCCATGTCAGAATTTGTATGGTGGTTTGAAACTGACCTAGATGATCCCATTCTTTGAATATACTTAATGATGTGGCTTGTGCAAAGTATAATACTCATCAATGCTAAATATATATTCCTACTCTTATCTTTCAAGTTGCGACTGCTACTACTTTTTGTTTATTTGATTGCTACGAAATGTGCTGTCATAGAAACAGCATAACCAATCCCTTTCCATAAAAGTATGACAAAATGGACTTTTCAAAAATATATTTTCTATTTTCTTTTATTTTTTATTTTATAAAACTAATCTAAACGAACAGTGAAAGTTAAGGAATAAAGAGGTTGTCAGTTCATATTCTGGCTTCTCCATTTGTGCCAATTTCGGTTGTATTGTAGTTGTAGCCAAGCATTTTGCTCTTGAAAAATGTAGTGAAAGTAGAAACCAACACCTCTTTTGGAGAAAATAATTAACTTTGCCCTTAAAAGATGTTGATCATCAGTTTAATAAATTTTAGTATAATAATAACTTATGAATCAAATTGGTGGGGTTTTACAGCAATGAATCAAATTGACGTTGAAAAGACTTAATTTGAGGCTCATTTTATTGAGGTTAATTTAATATTCAATTTTTTTTATGAACTGGCATGTTATCCTGTGCATCTTCAAAATCAATTTTAATTTTTTTGATTCCAAACTCAAACGTATGATTTTATGCAATTTTCCCGTGAAGATTGTTGCAGAACAACATTGCGAGAAAATTTGACCTGGGGAAATTTATGGAATGTAATTAGAATTAATCCTTCAACAATGAGAAAACAGGCCTATGCCCTATGGTGTGTTTTAGTGTGAGAAAGTCTCTAGAACAGATAAATTCATTTGCCTAGTATGGGCAAATAGAATAAGTTATTTTGTATAACTTGAATGGGAGGTAGTTTGGCAAATATATTTAAGGATTACAAAACAATTCCTACTTGCAGAAATCTATCGGTAAAATTTGCTATAAATTTTAAATAGATACTCGTTTAATGAAAGGGCTAGTATTTGTACTTTAAAAACATTAAAATACTCTTAAGTATAAGTAAAACAATTTAATTTAACTTATTTTTAAGCTAAATATATCTATCATAATTATTCTTTTTATAAATATATATCACAAAATTATTTTTTTATATAAATATCATGTTTTAAAATTATTTATTTTAGTTTTATTCATTTCTTACGTTTTATATTTTATCAAATATTCACATATTCATGTGCCAAAAAATTCATAGATATTCGATAAATGAATACTCACAATAAAGGGAAGGTGATGAAGGTGATGAGGGGTTATTATCCTGTCACGTCAATTGACATCCCATGTCCTTTATATGAGTGAGAAAAAGTTGGTATTCTTTGATATACATACTATACTAGTGAGAAAAATTTGGTATTCTTTGATATAAATGTTGATATAAATTGGATTTTTGAATTAATTATAGAACTAGACCCGTTTGCAAAGTAGGGTGAGCTGCAATTGAGTTTATAGAAGAGGTTTGCATTGCAAGTTTTTTTAACTCAATTCTATAAATATCCTGAAGAAAATCTTTTAAATAAATTATTTTTTATTATTTGAGCATAAGCAAACTCTCATTCGCTAGAAGTTTTTTAATCAAGGAACTAATTGAGCTTTTTGTTTTATTTTTTCACATAGATGTTGAGAATCATTAAAAAAAATATAATTGAATTATTTTATTCAATCTTATTCTGTAAACTATTTTTTTCTTGTTTAAACGTCATTTCAAAATACACAAGATTTGAATTAACTTAAAATGTATAAACTAAAGTCCTCTTTTGGAATTCATTAGAAGTGAACTAATTCATTTTATATATTGGTAGTTTTTTTTATTATCCGTACATACAAAAAGTTGAATGACCGAATCAAATAATTCAAACAAAAAGTAACATAAAATATAGGAGATCATGAACCGACCAAGTAATATTATTTTCTTATATTGTAAGTTAAACCAATTACGCATGGCCATTTTATATGCCCTTTGCTAGCTGTAGCCACAACACAAGTGTGTCGTCCAATCACAGTTTGAAGTTGGACCAAAAAAAAAGATCATAAATTGAAGACAGCATTTCACCACAATCCAATTAAAGTTTCATCAACCTATTCTCCACTGCCTTAGTTTTTGTTTTTGTTTTATTCCTATCTTTCTTAATCTTTTATTTGTCACCGTAAAAGAGAATCGTTTTCTCTCACAATTTGGAAGGTTTAAAGGTGAAGAGACAAGAGCAGAGGAGAGGGGGAAGGGAAGAATTGTGCAATGGAAAATGCCATATAATACAAATAGAGAATTAACATGACAAAGTTGAAGGAATAGAAAAATATTTGTCAAACTATTCAGTAGATTGGACTGCTCGAATATGGTACATAAATGTTAATTCTTTTTTTTTTTAACATTAATGCTCTACGATTTCTTTTTTATGTGAAAATGATAAAGATGAAAAAAATTATATTGTTTTCCCTTCTTGTCAGAGTAGAAGTATAGAATATGTAGTGTAACAATAACGTTCATTTCATTGCTTCAAATGAGAAGTTGTTTATAGCATTGTATTAGTGAAGCCACGAAAGCATGTTTTTGTGGTCTACTTATAGACATTTTGATTGTGTATTTGAGTTCCATAAACAACAAAAACATGTCGTTGTATACATGTTTTTTACATAATAGAAACATTTCTGATTTGTATCAAACCCCACTACACAATGAAAACGTCTTTGTTGTTTGAGTTTGTTACACAATAAAAACATTATTGTTGTTATAATTATTGTTGTAAATTTAACTTATAAACTTTTAGTTCTATTTGTTTTACTCCCCTCAATTTTTATTTGTTTTCATTTTGGTTGTCTCAAATTTTAATTGTTTATCAATCTATGTAACTTTCTGATTCTACATTAAATTTAACGATCACTTTGACGACAAGAATATAAGATTGAAACAAAAAAATATTACAAAGGCAGAATTCAAAATAAATAAATAAAGACTAAAAGCTAAAATTCCTTACTTTTATAGAGATGAAAGGGTTATTTAAGCCAAAAAAAAAAAAAAAAAAAAAAACTAGGATGTTAGAATAATATTGGCCCCCTTAAGATTGGGACTAAATGTTTTACTGAAAGCCCACAAACCATCAAAGTTACAAATATAATTTTTTTAATAAAAAAAAACAGTATGAAACTATTTACTGATCTAAGGTGATTCTTACCATGCAAATATAAATTTTTAAACCTCTACCACTGGTGGAACAAATTTGTGCTACTTGCAAAGGCACAAGACAACAAAGTTGCAACATATAACCGTCAGTTGCACTTCTTGAAAAAGTACTTCTCCATATGCTGTCACGTGACAATATATGAATATCAATTAGAGTGAAGAAATAAAGTTATGTAAATAATTTTGCAATCAATTTGGATTTGAGAAAGTTTTGCTAGTGCATTAAAGTTCAAACCCTAACTTAAAACCATTGGGAAAATTTTTGCAATCTATTTCAAGAAAGTCGTTAGGAGAGGTAGTACAGAATTACAAGGTAATGTTAATCTCTTAGGATGAAATGTCTATGAAAATAAAGTTGCTAAAGCAATCTTGGGTGAATCATAACGTTTTACGCTAAGATAAGGAATCTTAGTAGAGGAATGAAACTGTTCAAGGTAAGAAACAAATGATAATGATTTAAAACGTGGCATGGGTGCAACAAAATTATCTTGAATAATGCTAGGAATGACGATAAAAAAAATGGTATTAAGCATGAAAAATGGAAAATGTATAATATTGTGAAAAGATAAAAAGATTTGGATCAAGAATGATACATTAAATATGAAGGAAACAGAAGTAGGAGATCAAAGATAAAAAGATTTGGATCATGAAATCTAATTTTTTTTAAACAAGCTAAATGACATTATATGTATATCTATATATCTTAAACGCAAAATTGTATGATTAAACTGTTAATTCAAGGATAATATTTTTTAAATTTAATTTGTCTTGAAAACTTTAAATATTATAGAATATACATTTAAATACAAAAAATAATCACATATTTTTCGATATTCTAGGGTAGTAAAAAATCTTGGCATACATTATTTTCTTTACAACAATGAAATCAAATACAAAATACACACCAACTACGTCGATGACTAATCTTCAAAAGACTTAGGACCACATTTTGTAAAATATCCTCTCCCAACAATATATTTTTCCGTACACAACCTTACTTAGGTACCGACAAACTAGATTATATTTATAATGCTATATGTTTAGAATGTATTCATAAAAGATTAGCAAACAGGATGACGAAGGCAACATTTTTTATCAAATAAAAAATGTAGCACTTTGGCTCCACTAATGGGCACAACACCAAAGAACACCGAATAGGACAAATTGCTCAATTCTGTGCTACACGTGTCAAACGCTACCAAGCTAACCTTTACGTAGTGCATAGCAAGCACTTGCAGTAGATAGCACCATTTCTCCAAATAGAGACTAGACCCATAAAAGAAATAGAAACATGGGTACCTTCCACCAGTATTTAACTTATTTTTTACTAGAATTTAGGAAAGAAACCAAAAATTGAAGCAAAACTGAGATGTCTTGTCTATCTATGAAGAAAAGGAAGCTCAACAACATTTATGTCTTACCCGCCACCATATACCCCAAAATGTCAAACGCAGTAAAAGCAAAGCATAAGGGGGAACAGGCTACAAGGGATACAGGACCGTATGAAGAACAACCTAAATTTACATTTTAAGGCATAAAATTAAATGAACCTTCTAATCCAGGAAATTCAATAACCATAGTTCTTTTCCTGCTTAAGTTCAAATAAGAGAACCCAAAATTGAAAATAGGACCAGGATATGTCAAACGGGTTCTGGAAACCTCACTTGCCACCCAAGGTTGGGAAATGCCCGGGATCTTCAATGGATGGAGCAGGTGCATTGTTGATGGCACTTCCACGGTAACCACCTCGGGAGCCACGCCCACCACGCCCCCTACCACGCCCACCTGGGCTATAGTATGTTTCCCCCTCAGCAGGCTTCAGAAATTCGGTGATTGGGACAGACTAAGAATACAAGTAAACGAAAACAGAATGAGTCTACAAAAACAGATAGAAATGTTGGGTTCCAAAACAAACAAGGATCATGGAAATCAACAATTTACTGTTTAAAAAACTCCTAAAAGGAAAGCATATTGGCAGTCAAACAGCCAACCTGAAAATTTGATACAACACGAGCAAGAAATTTTGTGGACAAGAGATTATAAATTAATGGAGCATCCAAAACAAACATAGCATCCGTTTCAATTAAATGTCCAAGATATATTCACACAAATATAATCAGAGACAATATCAACACAAAATACACTCATAAAAAATGAACAGAAACCTATAAAAAAATGTTTTACTGACAGCATAAGAACTCAGAACTTACTCCAAAGAGCAATAAATATAGGGGAAATTGCACTCACATAAAGTCTGTATAAATGACACACCTCCCCTCTAGTTTTAAAAAATCACTTCCCTCCATAAGAATAAAGTCATTAGTTAAATTGAGGAAAAAAAAAAAAAGACTATTCATATTCTATGAATCATATACACGGCTATCCTTTACCCTTTACCTTTATTTTTGAATTACGTACAATGCTACATCTTTTTTATAAAAATTTCCATTATTCTTCAATTTTGAAAAGAATAATTTCTCAACCAGTTCTATGGAATTGTTTCTTGATGTTGGTATATTCTTTGAATCACAACACTTATGATATATAGGATATAATTTAGGAGTTAAAATTGAGGAAAAGATCAAGTCTAATTCAATTGTTAGCACTTGCATTAATAATTTTTTCTCTCTTAACAAAGCACAAATATTATCTTATATAAGGGATTGTATGTATCACTCAGATAAATAAATAAGAGAAGAAGTTAGTATTCACTTAAAAACTAGAGGAGAGGTGTGTATCATTTAAAAAGCCTGAGAGGTTGGTGAAATTTTCCCATAAATATAAAGAAATGGAACATCTGCATCATCACACACACGACCACAAATAACCCACACAAGTGCACATGAGCACTCGTGTGCATGTGTCGGTATATCATCCCATAAGAATTAGAATTTATGGAAAAATCTTGATGTACTTGAGTCAAAACAACCGGCAGTTTAGTTTAATTAAATAAAAATAGAATTACTTAAAGTCGGATAATTAGCATAAAAACCTATTCATTGTCACAAAAGGACTAAATGACGAGTCACAACAAAAACAAAAAAGAAATTAGAATCAGAGTCATATCATTCTCAAATTGTAATGTGTCATGATATTTTTATCACATCAAAACAATTTTTCCGCTTTGATGTTATTGAGTCGAGACTTGATTTCCTTCATCATTTGAATTAACACACAAGTCTCTTCGATCATCATCAAATATAAAGATATTAACTAATTGCATTAAAATAATGTTTCCTTAAATTAAAATAACTAAAGTTTTCAAATTAAAAAAAATGTTTACATTTATTTTTATAAAAAAAATGTCAATATCTTTTGAAATTATAATTTTTTATACATCAAATATTTATAACCTATGCAAAGTGTGCAATATTATTTTGTAATCTTTCAAAATAATATGCGAGTAACACTCAAAAATTGAGCTGAAGAAAATGACAAACATGGAACTATTACTACCAAAGACATGCAAATTCAAAAACCAAACCTTCTTGGATTTCTCTTCCTTCTCAAAAGCCTCTTTTCGCTTATCTTTATCAGATCCCTGGAGAGAAAATAAATGTGTCGAAACATATTAGCAGGTAATTACCAACATAAAATGAACAAGAAAACAACAGATAGTTTATAGGCGCATATAGTCAAAAATGTACTCACCAGTTTAATAAATATGTCATGATTGTCTTTCTTGCTTGACAAGGGCTGCATGGATTCAAACACTTTAGTGTCTACCTTTCTCCCTTCAGTCTTGAGTGCCTGGAATGCCTTCCTTCTCTCTTCCAACACTTTCTCATATTCCTCCAGAGTCATCTCCTGACAAATGAAAAGAACAACAGCTTGCTTATTAATAAATTTCAAACACAAACACTAAAATCGCAAAGAACGTAATTTTTCCACAATTTAGATCCTCTAAATCTAGAGATGTACTTTTAGATGGTAGAATGCAAGTGGCAACCACCAATGAGAAAATCAAGGGAGTATATATAAATATAAATATATTAACAAGTATATAATTTGTTAATGATGAGTCTCTGATATAATAAACTGTTGACATTTTATTTATTAACAAGTATATAATTTGTTAAACCATGAGTCTGTGGTATCATAAACTGTTGACATTATAATCAGATGTATCAACTATGAATCATAATCAAGGAAAAGAGAAAGTATCTTACAACTGAATCAGAACAAGATTAGTAATTATAAAAAAGAATCACAAACAAAAATAATAAGCAAACTAACAAATAAAAAATCAATTTGGTGAAATGCAATACGCAGAAAATCCAAGAAGGAACATAATCTACTGTTGGTATTTTGATTATCAAAAGGTTTAATTACACTTTTCATCCTTTAAGTTTCATGAACTTTACCTTTCAGTCCCTATAATTACAAAAAATCCATTTTAGGCCCTATACATATTGTTTTTGTTTCTTTTTAGTCCCTATAATTTCATAAACTTTACCTTCTAGTCCCTCTAGCAAAAGAAATTGAGAACAAAAGGGAATAAAAATAGTATGTATAGGGACTAAAACGAAACATTTTTAACTAAAAGGTAAAGTTTATGAAACTAGAGGGATCAAAAGGGTAATTAAACCAAATCAAAATACAGAAATATCAGAGGATACAGCAACAAGGTTATGTAAATGCTTTAAATAGGCTTGACATTCACCTTATCTTCAGGCTCTTTTTCTTCGGTTTCATTAGCAGGACTGTCCTTGTTTCCATCAGTTACATCTTCAACTGCAGGCTTCTCATCACCCACATTCTTTTCAGTTTCAATTCCAACTTCATCAGTTGCCCTAATATAAACCAGGAGGAAAGAAATTATAAACAACAGCAAAAAATAAAAACAAAATTTCCACTGAAACAATGTAAACATTATTACAATTAAGGTTATAGAAAACTAGATTGAGAAAAATGCTTACTGAGAAATTTCATCAGTTTGTGTTCCCCAGTTACCACGCCCAGCACCTTCACGTTTGAATTCATTTCTGCAAATAGACAAAAGGGACATCAATATTTACAGGAACAGACATGCAACTCAATTAAGAAACATTCATGAACGATAACATCACCCTCTTCCAGTCCCACTGCGACGATCATATGTTCTTCGAGGACGTCCTTCTTCACCTTCACCGGTTTCACCATTACTGAAACCTCCACGACGACCTCCACGGTAAGGAGCTCGTGGTCCACCATAACTGCGTCTTTCAGAAGACTTCGCAGCATCTCCTTCTTCAAAAGAACCCTGATTAAAAGGAGCTCCAGTGGCAGGGAATGAATTCTCATCATTAGAAGAGTCACGACCAAACCCACGACCACGCCCATATCCACGCCCACCACCTCGTCCACCCCCACGGCCTCCACGAACAGGCTCATTTCTGGACTCCCTCACTATCAAATAACAGAAGCAGAAAACATCAATAAACAATAATAGGATGACCATCAATAAACATTCAGAATCATAGAGAACAAATGCAACACAAACTCGGCAACAAAAAAAAAACACAGAGACATTAATATTTTAATTTATATGATGTCACACCCGAATTACAAATAATAACAAGGGGTCAAATCGAAAATGTATTACCAATACACACATTCTAATGGACTTGTGAGTTATCACAGAATGTGTTACAAACTAGAACTCCAATCAAATTACTCCCGACACAACTTGCAATTCATTGTGCATTGAAAACCCAATAACTTACAAGAAAACTTACAACACAGTTACCACTTAATACTATTTCCTTTCGCTAAACACAACCAACGTCAAACATGCAAGTGTTTGGTGAGTGTTCGCAAAATTGATTGCGTAATAATGTGATATATGTCTGGATGTTTTTATTACAAACCCATGTTCGTAATAAAACACTACAAACTTTTTTATCCAACATGAAAGCAACTGGCTTTAAATCTAAACCAATTCTAGACCCATAATCAAATTCCTCAAAGTGGAACCAACACACTAGCTGGTATTTCAACATGATTCTAAATCATCTATCGTGTAGACAAAAATAAAATATTAACAATGTGTATACATATATCAAACACACATAAAACATCAAATCCATGATCAACTACAAATGTAAACACACAATACTTCCAAAAATCGCTCATAAACAACAACATATTAGAAAAAATATAAAACACAACATGTTTTACCTAAAAAAGCCCATCGAACCAAACAACACAACTGTTACAAAATCCCATACATAAAGCGCACTAGCAAACAAACAAAATCAAAACAGCAAAATATTCCAAGACAAACATCAATCAGAAACTAAGAAACCACAAAACCCAGAAACAAAACATAAAAAAACCAAAGAGCAGAGAAACTCACCAGCCTGAGCCGGGGGAGGTGGCTTGGTAGGCAGCTGAGCCGGCTTGTTGGTCTGACCGGCGCGCTGCTGAGCGGGCGGCTTCTTGGTCGGCACCGCGGCGGCCGCCTTGAGCTGCTCGGCGGCGATGAGCTGAGAAGGGTCCTCAGCGTCATCACCCAACAAATCAAAGGGGTTCATAGTCGCCATCTCTCAGAATATTGCCAACTTTAAAACTCGAAACGCAGTTTCCGAAACGCAAGGGCTTAACCAGCGTTAGTAAACCTGCATGGTGTTCTCCATCGTGGACAGAAACGAAGATCAGAGAGAAGAAGGGAGAGGGTGAATAACAAAAACCCTAGCCGCAATAGGAGAGAGAAATGAGAAATGAGAAATGAGAAATGAGTGAGTGAAAGAGAGTGAATGGGAATAGAATAGAATAGACACCGCAACCTAATCTTCAATGTCTCTTCTAATTTATTTGAGACTACGAATGTATGTATGCGCTGCTGCAACCTAATCTTTGTTTTACCCGACATTATTATTATTATTATTATTATTGTTTCATTATTTAATACTACCTTAAAATAATAATATTATGTTATAATTTTAAAATATTAATATGTATTCAGTTGTTAATTAAAAATATTATTATGATTTTTGCTAAATTTAATTGTATATTAAAAATATATTTAATTATTATTTTAACAAGATATATTTTAAATAATCAATTAAATAATACTTTATATAAGAAAATAAAATTAAACACAACATTAAGGTAGCGTTTATTTAATTGATGTTCTCAATATCGTGTTTTTATAAATATTTAAATACAATACTATTTTTCTTATAGTATTAATTATTGTGTTGACTAGGAGTAACGTATAAATATTAAAATATTATTTAATTGATATTATCTACAGTTATACATATTCTATGATATTAATTAAATAGGCATCCTCTTTTGACTTTTGGTGCATACAAATTTTGCACTATCTCTAAAACTATTAAAATTTACTTATCTACATTTATTATAAATTTATATCTATATCTATTATAAAATATAAATTAAAATATATATATATATATATATAGTGTGTTTGTTTCCATTTTTTAATAAGAGGAAAAAAAAAAACTTACCTTTCATATTTTGTAAATAACGTTCATAATCATTCATTAAATATCTTTCGATAATTTTTTTAAAAATTTTAAAATTAAAAACTTTTTTTCTTGTAAGAGGAGAGAAGGAATTCTAAAATCAAATTACTTTTATATTCTTATAATTTTAAATTTAACAACATAAATAAAAAAAAATATTTTTAATATTATATTAAAATATTTTAAAATCTCTCTCCTCTTCTAAATTCCTCCATAATTGGAGAGAGGGTAAAAATTGAACTAAAAAAGAAATTAAAAATTTTCCCTCCTTTATTCTCCTCCAACTAAATATTAAAGATAAAGATGTTGTTGTGATCGTAGAAACCTTTTGGTGAACACAAGTGGCTATGGATCAACATGTCACACAAGCCCAATTAACATTGACAACTTGTAGAAAGCCCAATTCTTGTTAACCCTATCCAGTTAGCGAGTTTGTGGATCGAGTATTGGTCCTCTTACAAATCGGACACGCTATTTGGTTTTTGTCTCTTCGACTTTTTCCACCTTTGTTTTTTTTTTCTAGGATGGCAAAGTGGGCTGTGGCCCGCGGGCCGGCCCGTTAACCCGCTAAAAATTGGCGGGCCGGGCCCATCATTTTAACTCGCCAACCCGCCAAGTCTGTCCCGCCAACCCGCCAAGCCAAATAGCGAGCCAGCCCGCCACAACCTGCCGGCCCGCATATATATTTTTTAAAATTTAATTATTTTTATGTTTATTTTATTTTGATGTAGAAGATGAGGATGAAGATGATCAAGAAAAAAAGTAGAGACATCTTCTTCTAAAGAGAGTTTCTAATATTCTTAAAATAAAAATTTAAAGTTAATTAATTGTATTTAAACTTGTTTTGTGAACTATCAAAAAATTTAGTTGTGTAAATTTATAATTTGATTTTGATTTTGGTATAAATTGACTAATTTCTATTTGATTTTGTTCTAAGTTTGTAATTTGTTTTTGTTGAGCATATATTATGTACAATATGTATACATTTTTAATTTCATATGGTTATATTTATTTATTTGTAACAAATTATTTTTATTTGAACATAAAATTATTTTTTTTTCCATTTTTTTTTATTTTATTTTTGTATGCGGGTTGGCCCGCCAACTCGCCAGCCCGTCCTTAGGCGGGGCGGGCCAACATCTCCAGCCCGTTTTATGTTGACGGACCGGCCCGGCTCAGCCCATTTTTGGCGGGTCAATGGCGGGCCGGGCCAAAATGGGCCGGGCTGGCCCGTTTTGCCATCCCTATTTTTTTTCTTTTCTAGAAGGCTATTAACGTTACATGAATTCAAATAATTAGTTTTTTTTCTTTTGTTAGTTTGTCTTGCAGAATTTGAATTACGTAACTTTATAAAATATCTGGATTCCGGATTTAAATTTCTACAAGGTACATATTTTAATATTTTATTTTCTAAGCCAACAAGTTATTGTTTCAAGTAGTAATATGATATTAGATTTATTCTCCTTAAACAAAATCTCAAATTTAAATCTCATATATTAAAGAAAAAGTAATTAAAAGAAAGATCTACTAAAAATTCTCACTTACTAGCCAGATTTCTTGACCGAGATTAATCATCCATAAAGTTTCTAGATATTAAGCATCAATAACATGGTTATCCAAAATTAAACTTTCACATTTTCATTTTTTTTTTTCTATAAAAATTAGATTTAAAAATAAAAAACAAACAAACAACCACCTAAAACAAGGCCTTATTTGTTGCATATTGTGAAATTGAATTTTCAAATACTTATTTGATATATATTATAGAAATAAATTTGCATATGTATTTGATGCACATTAGGAGTGAAATCAAACTATGTTAGTCTTTGTTTTAAAAAAAAAATAGGGTTTATTTAGTTATCATTGATTTTATTTAAAGATTCTTTTATATACATTACAAGAATATTATCATTTGGTGTAAGGTAAAAACTCACACCAAGACGAAAATGTCAAAACAAATATCAATTGTAGCATCACATAAGCGTCAGTCACGATGTAACACTAAAACATTTGTTGCTAGTCAATTTTTGTCATCTAGCACACACCAACTCTATTTAAAGTCAATATAATTGGCATAATTATGATAAAGTTGTACTCATAAATATATACCAACTAGTTTGTGTACCCATATGATGTATTGGATGAGTTAAACGTCGATAAGTAATACTTATCATTATTTTAAAAATTAAAGTAATAAAAAAAATAGCTAAATATATAATATTTTAGCTTTTCTTATAACAATTTTTAAGTTGTCAATATGTTAAATAATGACTCATAGTTCCTAAATTTTCAAATATATAGTTGAAAATTACAACTAGAGTCGAATGTGATAATATTTGCTTAAACAGAGTTTTAGTTGTAGGTAAAAAATAATATATATTAATAACGCGTTATTTTGAGTAATACTAAATTCAATCCTCTTAAGCAAGGTTTTGAGTTCAAGTTTTATATATGTAAAAAGCGTGGTTGGCAAGAGAGACTCCTTTAAAGGTGGCTAGCCAAGGTTATCAACTAGGGATGGCATGGGGCGGGGTGGGTACGGGTTTCATGATACCCGTCCCCGTCCCCGCGACTCAAATTCATACTCGTCCCCGTCTCCATACCCGTCAGGTATGTAAATTTGTCCCGTCCCTGTCCCCGTCGGGTATTGGGTATACCCGTACCCGTACCCGTACCCGTAAAAAAATTATTCTTTTTTACAAAAAAAAATATTTTTAACTTATCTTTATGTTTTCAAGGTATTATTAATTGTGAACAAAAAGTGAATCTCTAGCAAAGTTAAAGGGACAAGGCTGAAAGTAAGGATGCATCAAACTCAAAAGAAGCACCTTTTTGGGTGAACTCAAAACATCCGCATATCGTGTAATTGTTGTTCTTAAAGTACAGGGTGGGAATGGAGGTGGCAAGGAACTTCCCCTAAGTGGTTTCCCATCTTCGTCATCATTATGGATTGAGAAATAGGTATCTGGTGACAAACCTATTAACCTTATTGCCTCTTCCACAGTTTCGGACAAATTCTCACAGTAAACACCAACATGGTCTCCTGTTTCATATCTGAAAAATAAAACAGCCATAAGGACAAGGAAAACGAAGAAACAATAGCGAGTGGACTGTGAGGGAAGGAAGAAAGAAGATTGAGCGAGAGAGAGACGTACCAGTCGTGGTGAGGGAGCCGCTCGGAAGGAGAAAGTAGAGGCTGAAGTGGCTGGTGCGGTGGCTCCGTGGCTGGTGCGGTGGCTCAGAGGGAGAAAGTAGAGTGCTTGGTCGGAGGCTGGAGTGGGAATGGGATTTGAAAATTGTAACCCTAAGTTTGCGTTGCTCAGCGTGGCCTTTAGATTTTAGAACAATATTTGAAATGTTAATTATTTTAAAATAATTAAACCGGGGATGGGGATGGGAACGGGGACGGGGACGGGGACAGGGCGGGTAAGTATATACCCATCCCCATACCCGTACCCAATTTCATTTATCGGGTTTTACCCGTACCCGTACCCATACCCGATCAAAGCGGATATTCCCCGTCAAAGTCGGGACGGGTTCGGGTATTACCTACGGGTACGAGTTTATTTGTCATCCTTATTATCAACTAAGACATGTATCTTCACCACATGTCTAATAACTTAATCAATTACAATATCATACAAATTTACAACTTATTCATCCATTTATTCACAACTTAACAACAAAAAAATCACTATACATTATCTTAATGCACAACGAACTACCTTCATACAACATCCATCATATAAACAACTCATCACCTTTCAATTATTAAAACAACTCCAAACATCTCACATAAATGATATAACTCACACTCGACACCATCCTTAGGTGCCCAAAGCTATTAAGATAGGAGGCCTCCTATCTCCCCCACTCTTGTGTCACTCAACCATTGCCCAACGTGAATGAGGCTCACAACTGACATGGTGAAACTCCAAGTCTGACCTCGATCAAGTAGAAAGCTCCTGCCCAAGTCACGTTCAACGTCACTCCATTGATGCCCAACGAAAACTCAAGTAGATATGATTATCTTTCCTCATACTTGACGCCATTCAAACCCAGATTTGGTGTGACCAAGTTAGAGAGGATTCTCTCTTCTCACACCTAGGGCTACCAATCCTGCACTCAGGACTAATGAGGCAAAACATCCTTGACTCAAGTCACGCTTGGTGCCATGACGGTTTGCTCGACATGATGATGAGTTATACATTTGATAGAAGCTCAATCTGTCCAAATCCATCTTAAACTTATAAATTTACCAACATGCAACACATAATTTGTAGGCATCATAGACAACTAAAAAACAACAT